CTCGTTTTTGTGAAGTTTGGTCTTTACACGAAAAAAAAAAAATTTTTTAATTACAGTGCGTTTTTTTTTTCTTGAACTTACTTATATCAGGGTATATATAAACAAGTTTGCTACAGAGGGCGTGGCACATCCAATAGGCATGGAATTTTTTATCAGCTATAACGTCGGAACTATAAGTCCCACGAACTTGAAATTTGGTATGCAGATTTATTAATGGTAGGTGCTTATATATAAATGGGTTTGTAAAAAGGGGCGTGGCACATCCCATAGGCGTGGAAAATTTTACCAGCTATAATTTCAAAATTATAAGTCAAATGAGATTGAAATTTGGTACGCAAACGTATCTATGGTAAGTGCCTATAGTAGGGTATCATAATATATAAATATCCCGTGTCACTGTGTTCGTTTACGCTAATCTCTGAAACCGCTTAACTGATTTCAACGTTGGTTCCAACTTAGGCGATAGGATAGTTGTGAGCCTGAGCAAAAATATATTTTTTTCGTCGAAATTTTTTCTATGCTTCTCGCATCGTGCTTATCTATTTTATATATATAAAAATGAAATGTCTTTCGTATGACGGCAATGCCTGACCAAAAGGTTGAACCGATTTCAATTCTGTAAAAAGGCCTTTTTTGGACGTCCTATGTAGAAGGTTCCTTAATTTAAAAAAATTTGAATTTTTTTGTTGTTGTTGCCGAAAAATTAAGAAAGCTGAGACGTCACGATTTCACAATTTCATAGAGTTTTCCGTATATTGAATGTCAGTAAACTACTAAACGGCTGGACCGATTTCGTTCATATTTGGAATAAATTTCAGCACCTTGAACGGAAATATTTCGACTAAAAATTTAATCGCTAGTTGGCGCTGGGGTCGGGATATTCATAAAAATTGCATATTTAGAAAACGATTTAGACAATTTAAAAGAAATAATTGGACTTAAAACTTACACGATAGGTGGCCCTGTGGCCGAGACATCCCCAAAAATTATTTTACGCTAAGAGAAGGATATATTTACTATGTATGTAGATATAGATGTACTATGTATGTATGTATGTATATGCCAGGTTGCAGCCTAAACGGACGGAAGAATCGAACAAAATTTTGACAGAGTATTGCCATGACACCTGCGCCTATAATAGGGTAAAAAAATTGGAATTCGACAAGGGGGCGTGACACCTCCCATAGGCGTGAAATTTTTAATCAGCCATAACTTCGAAACTTGTTATCAATCATAACTTCGGAACAATAAGTCACATGAACTTGAAATTTGGTATACAGTCATATATATGGTAGGTGCTTATAGTATGGTATAAATAAATGAGTTTGTAAAAGTGGGCGTGGCATATCCAATAGGCGTGCAATACTTTATCAACTATAAATCCGAAACTATAAGTCATATGATCTTGAAATTTGTTATTCAGTCATACATATGGTAGGTGCTTATAGTAGGGTATATATCAATGAGGTTGTAAAAGTGGGCGTGGCACATCCCATAGGAATATTTTATCAGCTTTAACTCCGGAACTATAAGCCACATGAACTTGAAATTTGGTATGCAGACAACTATGGTAGGTGCTTACAGTAAAGTGTATATAAAGGGGTTTGTAAAAGGGGGCGTGGCACATCCCATAGGCGTGGAAATTATTATCAGCTATATTTTCACAACCATCAGTCACATGAAATTGAAATTAGGTATGCAAACATATCTGCGGTAGGTGCTTACAGTAGGCTATATATACATGAGTTTGTAAAAAGGGGCGTGGCACATCCCATAGGCGTGGACCCTTTTATCAACTATAACTTGGGAACCATAAGTCCCCGCTTTAAGTAAGGTATATATAACTGAGTGGAACATCCCATAGGCGTGGAAATTGAAATTAGGTACGCAGACGTATCTATAGTAGGTGCTTATAGTAGGCTATATACTGGGTGGCGCCGAATGAGGTATATGGTTCGAATTCTTTATAACAGTTATTTTTTTTTTACTCTATGCCAACGGGATCCACGCCTGGAAATGACCTGCCAGCAGCGTTGCCGAATGCTTTTGCTGAAAATCCTCATTTTACCTTGAAAAAATCGTAATTTCGGCCAAAAAAACCTCAAATTTTTGGTTATAATACTAGGTGGCGCCGAATGAGCTATATGGTTTGAATTCATTTTAACAGTTTTCTTTGGGGATGTTTGAAAGAAAGAGTGTACGTTAAAAAACCAAGAACCATTCTCCAACTCCAAACCAACATTCGAAATGAAATCACGGCCATTACACCCGAAATTCTGCGAAAAGTTATGGAAAATATGCTAAAAATAGCACGAATGTGCGAAGCAGAAAATGGACATCACTTACAGGATATCTTTTTCAAAGCTAATTGCAACAAGTAAGAAAGTCTAAGTTCGGGCGGAGCCGAACATTAAATACCCGGCGCAAGTATTAAATATATGTTTTTTCACCTTTGCGAAAGCTACCGCTAGAAGGTAAGACGGGGTGTATCAATTTTGAGTAAATAAGCGTCCTTAAATTTCGAAATATTGCAGTTTCAAGCATTTCTGAAATTAACCGTTATATGAAAAGCGGTCGTAATTTTAGTCCGATTTCAATAATTTTCAACGTTTTGCTTTTGTGTGGCAAGAACAATAAAAATACCGAGTTTGGTACAAATTGGTATAACGGTTACCGATATACATATATGTGATCATAAGTGGGCGGTGCCACGCCCATTTTCCAAAATTTTACCATAAACGTATTTGTTGGTAAAGAATTGTTGCAAGCATCAATTTTGAATAAATTAGCTTTAACATTTTCTGATTTATCGTAGATTTTGTATTTCTCTAAATTACCGTTATATGGGATGTGGGCGTGGTTATTGTCCGATTTTTTAATTTTCGGCCAGTTAGGATTTTGGAGGATGGTTCCGTGCGCAGAAGTGGAAAACTTCTGACTGACATTCACCAGGGAGTGGCCAGAAGCGATTCATGTGCGTACGGTTCAAATCGCAGCTCACAACGTCCGGATATTTATATCCACGTATCCTCTGGGTAGCAACCAAACACCCGTTTGGGAGCGAGCTAAAGTGAGAAGGCGTAAAACTTCGCGTGCGCTGGGTTTGGGTCCCGCCACGTTAAAACCCCGCCCAATGAAAAAATCTAAAAAGCCTCGGATGAGACCCCCTTTTTCTGATGGCGACAACGGCAAACGTATAAAGGACTATGATTTAAGGGTATGCACCTGGAATATCCGGACCCTTAATGGGGAAGGTGCCTTTGCCCGGCTGGTTGATGTTCTCGGGAAGACAAAGGCTGACATCACCGCCATCCAAGAAATGCGATGGACGGGGCAAGGAAAAATAAGCGTGAAGCCTTGCGACGTCTACTACAGTTGCCACGTAAAGGAGCGCAAATTCGGTGTTGGATTCGTGGTAGGAGAGAGACTCCGTCGCCGAGTACTGGCGTTCACCACGGTGGACGAACGTCTAGCCACAATCCGCATCAAAGCTAGATTCTTCAACATCTCGCTCACCTGCGCCCATGCCCCGATGGAAGAGAAGGATGAGGCGTCCAAGGATCTCTTCTATGAGCGCTTGGCCCCGGACACGATGTCAAAATCGTGCTTGGCGATTTTAATGCCAAGGTGGGCAAGGAAGGGATCTTTGGTGCCACTGTCGGAAAATTCAGCCTCCACGACGAAACGTCCGATAACGGACTGAGGCTGATCGACTTCGCCGGGGCCCGAAATATGGTAATATGTAGTACTAGGTTCCAGCATAAGAACATTCACCAAGCTACATAGCTGTCTCCAGATCGAAAAACGAGAAACCATATCGATCATGTTGTGATAGACGGATGGCATGCTTCAAGCGTTTTGGACGTACGTACACTCCGAGGGCCAAACATCGACTCGGACCACTATCTTGTTGTAGCCAAGATACGCACCCGCCTCTGTGCAGCAAAAAATGTGCGCCCAACAATACAAGGAAAGCTTAACGTCGAAAAGCTGCAATCACAACAGACGGCCAATTTATTCACCACTCGACTCACACACCTGCTCTCTGAGAGCACTCTTCAACAATCCGACATACGCGAGCAGTGGAACCACATTTCCCGATCATTAAGTACCGCCGCCGAAGAAGTAGTTGGATTTCAGCGAGCCCGAAAGAATAACTGGTACGATGAGGAATGTCAAGAAGCCGCAGAGAAAAAAGATGCCACCTACAGGGCCACGCAGCGATCGGGAGCAACGCGAGCCATGTGGGACCGTTATAGGGAAAAGAAGAAGGAAGCGAGACGTATTTGCCGCAATAAGAAGAGTGAGGTCGAAATACGTGAGTGCGAAGAGCTTGAGATGCTGGCCGACAGGAAGAAGCCCGAAAATTCTACCAGAGGGTTAGGCGACTTACGGAAGGTTTCAAGACCGGGGTGAACTCCTGTAAGAACAACAATGGCGACCTAGTGACCGATGTCCAGAATATAATTAAATTGTGGAGGGAACACTTTTACAACCTACTGAATAGCATCAGCGCTGAAAGTAGTGAAGAAGACGAACCCGAGTCCCCAGTCGATGATGATGGAGTAGCTGTCCCACCGCCTGACTATGACGAGGTATGAATAGCGATCACGCGGTTGAAAAACAACAAAGCTGCTGGAGCTGACGGCCTGCCAGCCGAGCTATTCAAGTACGGCGGCG